AACTCAATCAGGATGAGCTGCCGTTTTTGCGCAAAGTGGAGAACTATGTCAGGTCGCAGGCCAGTCTTCCGGATCAACTCGGAGTACCTTTCATGGTCCGGCAGATCAACCGCCAGTAACCAGTCCCTCGCAGAGTCTAGCACAGATGGAGCGAATGCGTTTTGGTTGACCTTACCTTTTGGAACCCTCCCAGCCTTGAGGAAACGAATGGGGACGATGCTAGAACTGGCCCTTGCGTTGGCCCTCATTCTAGCCTGGTCAACAACGGCTGTTAACTCTTTTAGCACCTTGTTGTGTCGCCAGGTATATCGGCCTTGACCTAGGGCTTTCCTGCACGCGGACAGGACGTGTTCTAGAGTCTGCTTCGATTTACACAACGGGCAAGTCGGATCGTTAGTCGCAGACCATTTAACCATGTTAACACCGGACGGTAATACATCGTACGCCGCACGAACGATAAAGCTCAGTCGCAGCGGGGTCATCCGCCAGATCTCACCCATGTGAGTATTCTTGGCAATGCGCTCTCCAGGCTGACCCAATGGCCCAGCTGCGACTGCTGGGCTGCTTTCTGAACCCGAACCTCGTTTTCGTTGTCCCTCACCGTTTGTATTACCATGTCTCGGCGCTCTTTGGCTGAGGCCTTTGACCACCAATTGACCTTCCCGTGCCCTAGGCCTCGACGGTCGGTTTGAGTGTATCCTATTATCTCCTTCAATTTTAGTGCATTCTGGGCAGATTCAATCGCATCGAGGACCCTCCACTTCTGGCCAGTCTTTAGAGCGGGCTGGACAGCGATGACATTTGGGTCTGAAGATTCGCGCAAGAGAATTGCGAGTCTTACCTTGCCAACTTTAAACTCTTCGGTTATCGATTTGAACGGAAGTACCAGCTTAGCCTGCTTGCAATACAGAGCCACGTCGGTCAGACAAGGCGGTGCTCCAATCCACTTTCTCAAGGCTGTGTTGATTTTCTTCTCCATGGTTCCACTGCAGTCATCGTCACCTCGTAGACTAACAGTGGCCATAGGAGCTTTGGAATCAACATGAATTGGAGACACCACACCTTGAATTTTCCAATCAGCCTGCATCGCTCGACCGCGAGCAGGCCTGTAGCCAGTGACTCGTGTATTCGCCGGACTTCCGTTCTATCAGATAACTTCGAATCGTAAACGCAACCAAGGCTCTTCGCCGGTTCCTCCAGAACCGTGGGGATGTTGTTCCTTGCCACAAGAATAGACCCACTAACAATCTATCTAAGAATGTCGTAAGTCTTTTAGCTGGAAGATTCTTTCGAAGTCGCAGTGTCATCTTCCTAAGAGATAAGAAACCAAAAGGCATCATACAGATGAGTCAGATCTGTAAAACGAATGCGCGCGCAACACTCAGATTCTGGAACATGTCTGCTTACCAGAAGTGGACGAACAACCAGAATTTTCCTCTAGTGAAGGCGAAGGAAAAGAATTTTATATAATCATTTCCTTCTTATTCCGCCTTTGTATAAATCAAAAACAGTACTATCTGGTCATTTAAGTTTTCTGTCATTTAGTAAACTTTATTTAGCGAAATCAAATGTTTTCCTCAAATATTATACCAATATACTTCAAGTTTGTTGCACCTTGTCCAAATTGTTCAAGCTAATGTTACGAAATGCAAGTAATTAAGTTTATTACTTGTCATCATCAACACGTAGCAGGTCCTTTGCAGAACGTCGCTCTCATCACAGTCTGTGTGAAAGAAACTAGGTTTCTCGCCTCATCTTCTTCCTCATGTACTTTCATATTCAATGAGTCAATTATATCGTGTGCCTTCCTCGTGATGGTAGACCCCTGCCCCTACTTCCTGGTACCATGATTCTGGTATTATTTCTTCCAATCAGCCATAGCGCTTGGTATAACCAAAATAGTTCTGCATCTGAGACAAAGATGCTGTTTATTAGCCAATCTTTCTTGATGTTCAGATCTTTTAAAATGTCAGTATTTCTCTTTTTCTTTGTCCAAGATATTCTGAAAATCTTTTTATAGCATTTCAGTCCAAAAGCCCCTATTTTCTTTCTTCAGAACTGGGAGATAGTCCACGGCTCACATCTGTATGTTGCTACAGGGAAGATGCATTCTCTGAACATGTTAATTTTGATTTCCTTGCTGGTGCCTAACCATAGACTTTTAAGGCTGTTTATTTAATCTGTGCATTGCTATGACCATCCTCCTATTAATTTCTGTTAAACAGTCCCCATTGCTATTTATTATAGAGTCTGGATTTTCAAAGTTTAAGACATTTTCAGTTTCTTTATCATTTATGGTTATTTTTAGTGACAGCCAGTTTCGTCTGTGGATATTATTTTCGTTTCCTAATAATTCAACAGTAGGTTTTGATCTTTACCGTTCATTTTGACAAACTTGATTACATTCTCTATTTCCTTTACACTGTTCGGATATGGAAGACTGTATTATCTGTGTTGCGAAGATCCAGAATAGGGTTGCCAAAAATCTTCAGCAATTCATAACTGTCATAAGTCTGGTCATTTTTTAAACATTTATAATTATGTTTTATGCACATATATTGAATATGTATGGTGAGTGAATGCACCCCTGGCTCACTTTATTATACGTACCCAAACTAAAATAGATTTTGATGAAAACAAGTTTAGCGTACCCTGCTGCTCATTTGTGGAACCATTTCCTAATCAATTTGAAAAACGCAGTGAGGTTTTATTCATCTTACCACAGACGCTTTCAAATTATACTTATGTTTATGTTTATTTAACGGATCAACATCATGGCACACGGATGTAACCCATGAGTGCCCCGTTCTCTTTCTAACTCAGGCATGAGTCTGAAGAATCTCAGCTAAATGCATGAACTCTGTAGCACCGGCGAGGATCCTGAAATACTTTGGGTAGATTTTTAACTACATATTTTTTTCCGGGCAGCGCCGTTAGGCTACTCGTTTTGATTTCCAACTGCCAAGATATGTTCTATGTGTGCAACAATGCACACAGGCGTCTGGTCTTACTACCCAGAGACCAGGGAACAATTACTAGCCTTCACCGGGACCTCTAGCACTCGAGGCGGACACCAATGATCGAGGCCACGCAGCTTCCTGAAATTGTGCTGAATGCTGATTACATCCTATCCTGAATTCAGTTCATCCTGCCATTTAAAAACAATTTTCTTTTAACAATGTTTACATTTTCATATTATCTATATTGGTATGTGGGCTAAAGATGGTTTATTGACAAAAGACAAGTGTATGTTAAAGATTTGTCTTTCTAAGGGTCGGATTTGGACAAGTCTACTTGCCCAATTCATGAAATTTAAAAAAAAGTTGGTTAGTTTGTTTGTTCAGTCAGTATCTCTGCATTTATTTGTTTTGTCTTTATATATTTCGCTTTTATTCTCTTACCCCTCTGTGTCATTGTCTCACCTTTTCTCTGTCACTTTATTTCTTTCTAAACCACTCAATGTGTCTGTAAATGTCTTTCAATCTATACCTCTGTCCTTCTCTGATCTCCCTTCTTTATCACTCATTTTGGGACCTCTCTGCCTGACTGCAAATCTATCTGTGTATCACATTGCCACTTTCTTCCCCTTTCTGTGTCTCCCTCTGCATTTTGTTTATTTGTTTCGGTGTGTCCCCTCCCCCCCCCCGCCCCCTCTATCTCTCTCTTTCTCACTCTATCTATGTCTCTCTTTGCTGCTGCCTAAGTCCATCTACACTATTTCTCTCGGTTTGCATTTGTCTTAAGTACTGTTGTTTATCTCAACTGTCACATTATTAACCCAATGCTCCTCTTAAAAACACGGTTGATGAACACTGTCTTTCGTTTCTCAATAGCTGTGTCAGTTATCTACTTTCCCTATTATTTTTTTTTTCTTTTAAGCAATAACTGTGAATTTGCCCTGGCTTTCCTTGTATTCACAATAATCTTCTCAGAAACCACATCTCCAGTTTCTCTTAAAATTTTGTATTTCTTAGTTTACAGCCAGTGAAATCGAAAAATAAAAAGCAGTGTGTTAGTTCACATTCCAAGACGACTCATTAGCTTACCACTGAATAAGGTCAACGTTACATTTCAGGAAGCGGCGTCCATGGCTAAGGCGTTGCGAGTCCGACTCGTAATTCCAACGTATCGTGATCGGAACCCACTGCTGGCTGCGTGGATTTTAATCATTGTATGGGTCGTCGCAGGTCGACCTAGCCTAAAATGGGTACCGGGATGTATGTCCTGGGAAAGTAAAGACGACCGGCGTAATGCTGACAACATTACCAACCTAGTGCCGATTGGTCTGTATAAATATGAGTGCTCTTTCCATATGCCCGATGCGCCTAATGCGTGAAAAGGCATCTTTTTTTTTTTTTTTAACTTTTACTTTACATTTCAGGATGCTCTTTCTGACATTTAGCGAAGGTGACTTCTTAAGTAACATGTTTTTCAGCTCATGATTTTATCTTTTCTTTCACATGCTTAAGCCGCACTAAATACGTGTCACACATCCTACGGGTAGTGTTATGGTTTCCTCTGTATATTTGAATGTTGAGATTTCCTCTATATATTTGATTGTTACGATTTCCCCTCTATATTTGAATGTTATGAAGCTGTCAAGCCTGCTTCCTTTAGTCTGTTGTCACATCTGAGATGTTCTCCTTTCTTATCGTATGTGTGTGTGTGTGAGAGTTTGTATGTGCCTGCGTGAGCGTGCGTGCGTTCGTTCGTTCGTTCGATTGTTCGTTCCATCCCCACCCCCGTTTTTTTTATTTTTTTATTGATGGTTTCTTTGTCGGGGATAAGTATCTTAGACAGCACTGTCCGGTTAAGGGTTTGATTTATGGAGATCTCTGGTTATTGTCACTGGAGCCTAAGGGTTCGTATTTCTTAAGCTATCTGCAAAATAGGCCCTTTCTATTGCTACACTGTCTAGTATTTGTTGCAGACCTTGTGAGCTGTAGCCGAAAGTGATGTGTCGTCTGCATAAATCAAATAATTGATCTTAAACATTTCAGAGTTTGCTGAGCGTCAGTGCACAGAAAATGGAACATGGTGGTTCAGTCGGGATCACAACTATTCTTGGACAAACTATAGCCAGTGCGTCATTCCACCTTTGGACATCAGTTCTCACGCTGTGAGTAAATTAATTTTTTGTATTCATAATTGTGTGTGTATGTATGTGTGTGTGTGTGTGTGTGTGTGTGTGCGTGCACGAAGTTGATGATATGATTATTATTGTAATAATTACTGTAGAAGTCATTGTTTGAGGTTGCGATCACCCAAACACTGACAGAACGCAGAGACACCAAGATACAAGCAGAGCAATTTCTTATTATACCTGAACACCCGATAAAAGAAAGATTCCAAAATATTTCAAAGAAGGACTAAAAAGAAGTTTCATCCAGCAGGCCCAATGACTGCAGTCACACAAATTATCTGCCTGCAATAGATAGCCCCTTAAATGCTATTCAATATCAGACTCACTGCAGAAAGGATTATAATTTGTCAATACATATCTAGACAGAAGGAAAAGGAGTTTGAGTATTCGATAAGGAAGAAACAGTGAGTTCCTTAGTCTACTTGATGATGAATACCCAAAGGATCTTTGTGTTCCTGTCTACATGGATGGGTCAGCACAAAACGCAAGCAGAAATCGAGGAGCAGAAGTGTCAATTAAGCATCTAATTAGTACCAGATATACAACCACCATATCAACAGGCAAGCACTATCAGACGGTCAAGCTATCTAGATAGCAATAGAGAAACTGCTAGATACCAATCATATTTCACAACTCGTACTATTCTTGGTAGATGAAAGAGCGGTAGTTCAAGCACTCAAATCTGGAAAAATTACCTGCTATACGGACATTAAACTCCAAACTAGAGTGCCTTTCAGTGCAATTCTCATTAACGTTAGTGACTATTGACAATGACATTTACAACTATTTTGTTCAAAGCTTTTAAGGGGTCACTACACGGGGATTTTCTCCAATTTATGACAAAAATATCACTTTTTCAATGTGTTCGTTTTTGTTAAATTCGGCATTCGTAGAATAGATTACACACAAAATGTATGTCATTTGTTAACAATTTAGCATTGAAAGGTTAATACTAAAGACACCAACCCATGCACTTTTTTAAGATAAAAAAAGTTTAAAAGTCATTTTTCTCACATCTCCATATTTCTGTTTGTTCTGTGTGTGAAATCCTAAAATCTCAACTAATATAAAGACTACAAACATGAAATTTGGTATGGATGCTCCTTCAACAATATTATAGGGACTGATTTATTGAAAAGTAGATTTTAGAAGGCTTTTGTTTAAAAAACTTGATTATTGTCTCTTGATGCTAGATTTTTTTTTGACTTTTTCAAAAAATCTACACTTTAAAATTCTACAAAAAAATTTGTTAAACATGCTAAAAGTAAATAATCCATACCTGTACCTCTAAATAGGATTAAAGGTCACGAATCTGTCATCTATTTTTAATACGTATGTTTGTTTTTAAAATTTCAGGATTCTAAGTACAAGTATTTTTTTTCTCAAGATGGCGGCTATTGCCATGACAACCATGATTTTTTCACACTTAAAAGTATGAAAATGTTATAACATGTATCCCTACAAATGACCATTATAAAATAATTGCTCTAACTCGGTAAATAATAATAAAAAAAATTTTCTTTTTAGTGTAGTGACCCCTTAATCGTAATAAGTCACCCAGGACATATTTTTATAAAAGCAACAATCTACCCTTTTTCTTCTTTCGTTCGTATGAAATAAATTGTCTTTATCAGCAATTTTTCTATTGTAGAAATTTCTCTGTCGTTGTTAGTTCATTCAGTAGTCCATAGAGTTTACGTTCTACTGTTGTTCTTTCCGGCCAAAAGGTTTGCCTTAATGTGTCAAATTCGGTGCAGTCCTTGAGTACATGCTCTGCTGTCTGGGGCACCTTTCCACAGATGCACATCGCTGATAAGCCTATCTTGAATTTTGTATGGTTCCGTAATCGGTTGTGCCGTAATCGGTTGTGTTCTGATCTGTCAATAATAAAATAGTCGTCTTGAATTGGGGATGGTGGTTTCGTGGTCGATTTAATGATTCTTTTCTTTTGGTGGTATGTGACTGGTACATTCAGCTGCATTTTTGTCTCACCTCTCCCTACCAGTTGATCAGCTTTCTCATTTCCAGGCACTTTATAATGGGACGTTATCCACTCTTCGCTGAAGGCTGAGTTGTGTCAGCAGTTTTTGCAATTCTGGTAGTTTCCTAGACTGGAGTACTTCAAGTACGGATTTAGCATCTGTCAGCATTACCACAAACTGTGAGCCATGACTGGTATTTAGCAGTGTGTACTCATCTGTGTAGACTCGGACCCATTGTTCTTGTGGGCATTCTTCATCAATATAACTGAGAGTGGTCATTCTGCTCTGTATACTATCTTGCTCTTTCTTTTGAAATATTCCTTTCACATTTGTCTGGATTTGTACTGGGTTTTTTTTTTCATGGATTTTGTTCTGGAATACTTTTAAGGTAACAACAAATTTTTGGAAGTAGTTTGTCTACATATTGTTTTTGCTTGGTGTATAAAGCTGCTTCCTTTTAACCGTTCCAAGGCTAGGTTCTGAAATCTATTTTTCATGGGGTGATCTGGCATACTGAGGAACCTTTCAGCTTGTATTTGCAACTTTGTATCTCTGCGTTCTCTCAGTGCCTGTGTTTTCCCAGTTTTCTCGATTTCTAATATGAGGGTTGATTTCATCCCTCTTGTGATGACTCTGAGCGCTTGTTTTGCACTTTGCCCAACTCTTTTAAAGGGGTGCTAGATGCAGAACACCATGCAGTTGACCCATATTCCAAGTGTGGAAGTATGCTCTGCTTGTATACTTTATTGAGTATTTTCCCATTGGCTCCCCATGTGATTCCACTTAGTTTTCTTAGTATGGCTGTCTTCTTGGCTTTGGTTGCTGCCTTGTTGATACGTTTTCTCCATGTCAACATGTCACCAAATATGACTCCGAGGTACGTAATCTCTTTATCATCTCTTAGGAGTATTCCGTTTATTTTGATGATGCCCGATTTTTGCTTTGGGGAGAGGGTGAAGAGTGTGGTGCTATATTTGTCTGTACTGATGCTGACACACCATCCATTCGCCCATGCCTCAAGTGCATATGTAGCCCGCTGTAGTGTTTTTGTGGCTATCGTTGCATGTTCATTGGTGCACCACAGTACCAGGTCGTCGGCATACATTGCCATTTTGATTCCATTTGGTATCTCAGCAACCAGTTTGTTGAGGATTAAGAGGAAAAGCTTGGGCGACATGACACCACCTTGAGGGACGCCATGTCGCAGTAGAACTTTTTTACTTTTGAAACCATCTACCTGTACCCGGGCTCTTCTGTTATGTAGATATGCTTTAATCCAATTGTACATTCTTCAATTTACTTTATAGTTTCTCAATTTCTTGAAAAGCCCCTCCTTTCAAACCTTGTCAAAAGCTTTCCTTAAATCTATCCATGTCGCGAGTACCAGTTTCTTATCTTGAAAAGCATCCTCTATTTCTTTGGAGAGGTATGTTGTCTGGTCTTCCGTAGAGTAGAACTTTCTAAAGCCCGCCTGCTGTGGCGTAATGATGTTTTTACTTTCAATGTACCACTGTAGTCTGAGATTGTGTGATGCGCTCCATTGTTTTGCAGAGACAGCTTGTGGGTGCTGATCGGTCTATAGCTGGAGGCATTGGAACTGTCTTACTCAGCTTTATGAGGGGTATGATAATTGCCTCTCTCCAGACCTGTGGAACATTTCCTGTTGCCCAGCAAGCAATAAATATCTGTAAAAGCTTTGTTTTGGCTATTGTTTCTAAGTTTTTGATCATTTCGTTAGACATACCATCTACTCCTGAAGACTTCCGCATTTTCAGCTTTGAAATGGCTGACTCCAGTTCATTAAGTGTAATTAGCAATTTTAGCGCCTCTGATGTTATTTCTGTCTGATTTCTGAATTGTGTCTTTTCACTAAACTGATTTCAATGTTGTTATCTAAAGCAAAAGTGTCTACAAAGAGGTTTGCTGCCTCTTTTCCTGTGATCATGTTTCCATCCTTCTGCAGTGTGATCTTTGAGTTCCACCCTGTGTCCTCATCATTAATTTGGTATACAAGCTTCCATATATTTCTTGTGTCTTTTTCAAAGTTCAGCGACCTTGTTTTCTCCTGCCAGCTTCCCCTTCTAACCTGCAGCTTTGCCCTTACAACTGTTGCTTTTGCATGCTGGTAGTTATAGTGATGTTCTTGATTTGGTCTGGTCTCTGCTTTCTGTCTGGATATTTCTACTACGTTTTGTAAATTTTCTAGTTCATTATTTCAGTATGACTTATAATGCTTACAGGCACCTCTTGGTATTGATTCTCCTACTGCCTGTAATACGCATTTGTTTTAAATTCTTTAACTACTTTGTTTATATCATGGTCTACCCTGAGATTTCCAAGCAGTATACTAGTACGTGCTTGAACATTGTCCAGTCAACCTTCTTGTAGTTCCACCTGGCCAGCGTACTAGTTCCTCTGACCTTCTCATTTTCTACATTCAGGAAGACCGGTCGATGGTCACTGCCTTACAGTTGTTTTCCAGCAACTCGTGCAATGTTCCATTCCAGATCTGGAGAGTGAAATGCTAGGTCTGGGGCAGTAGTGGTGTGCCACGACCTCGAGTAGAATGTGGGTGGATCAGTTGGCCTATTAATAAAAACAAGTCTGTTCTCATCCTGCCACTCGTCCAATGTCTCCCCTCTATGGTCTATGTGGTCGTACCCTTAGCTTTGTGAGTGGCTGTTAAAGTCTCCACATAGAAGCATTTTTCTTCTACTATACTTGTGTCTAATGCCTGGGGACGAACACTTTGGCAGTAATCATGGATCAGGTAGAAATCTGCATTTCCAGTTTGTAGTTTCAGAATCTGATATTCTTCTCCATATATATATATATATATATATATATATATATATATATATATATATATATATATATATATATATATATATATACTTCAGTCTGGCACGCAATGATATTGTTCCTTACTAGAGTCAGTATTCCACCCAGATCTACCCTTATCATGGTGAATACGAATAGGAAGAGGAGATTCTTTTCACTGCGGTGTGCGTCTGTATCTGTGTGTGTGTGATCTAGAAATTATTATCAAATGGGGGAAGAGATTTGACAATGGCGAGGTCAGTAAAGCTGTCTGTAAAGCGGAGAATATATTTTTCAATCGTGGTGACAATAAGGCGAAAATACTGTTCATATACGTTGTAAACGTAACCAGGCAACTTCCAGAGGGTAAAACACAAAAAGGCATGTTACTTTTACTTATCGTCTGCTGACCGGGTGGCCTTACAGTCCTGCCGAATTACAGATGAATCGTGTCTCTATGGATTGCATGCTTAGCTTCGCAGATGGCACCTTTGTCTTCATTATTATGAATTCAGTCTCATCATTTAATTTCCATACTGTGTATTGTTCATGTCCTCATTATTAAAATGTGTCTACAGAAACAAGCAAATAACTTGATCTTGCTGTATACTGTTGGCTACAGCGTATCACTGGCGTCGCTTGTTGTGGCTGTTATCATTATGCTATACTGGAGGTAATTTCTCCCTTCACTTGAAAAATATAAATATGAATAATGTTCGTGCAAGTGTATGATGCTTGCGTTTTTTTTTTTTTTTTTTTTTCCTTCTTTCTTTTTTTTTTTTTTTTTAAATGAATTATGTTTTCTTTAATAGGTGTGTTTTTATAGATTAAATACCGTTCGAGTTTTATAAACGGTGTGTACCTGATGTCTTGTTGCTTTGAAAGAACTTCTAATAAATTATCTTGCAAATCTCTTACATGGGAAAAAATTTATTACACAATTAAAGTTAGTTAAAATCCTGCCGAGAAACAACGAGATGGATTTACTGTATTTGTTATCTTACCATCTGCTGTAGTTATTATCTGTGTTATTTACAAATACACATGTCAATATTAAACTAAACACTATCGACTGAGAGCCAAAAGCCATCCTGTCAAAACCTAACGGAAGTACAAGTATCTCTGTAGATACTACAAAGTCAAACATGTTTCATCTTAATATAAAAAAAAAAAGCTTAGCTGTTGTTCTGTTCAGCGACTTGGCATGTATCAAGACTATCATGAGTGAAAACGCAGAAATGTGTCAATTTCATATCTTTGACGATGTCTCAAATTATCATGATATATGACAACAAATGCTGATTCGAGCGAGAAAACCCATCTGTGGAGAAAACGGGTGAAAAAGGGGAGGGGATGATACAAATACCAGAGTAGAAATAAAACATACACATGAAAAGAATGTACGCACATCATCTAGTGCCCTAAGTCGGCCTGGCGGAAGGGGCCTGTGGGAGGGGGGGGGGGGTTGGAAAGGGGTTGGGTGGGGCCTTTTTTCACGCCGTTGTTGAATTTAAAGTAAAGAAAAGGACTATCTCCACGTATTCTTGCATATTGGGCATATAGGGCTGGATCTGTGTTTTAGACCATTCTGCACTCGCTAGGGGATATCAACATTACGCCGGTCGCTTTTACTTCCGGGGACTTTATCTTGTATTACCTAGTACCCATTTAAGGGTGGGTTGACCTTGGAGCCAAAGTCATTTTTAAGGAAAAATAATTTGAGCCCTGTCAGACCTGAACCCATGACCTTCAGATCAGTAGGTGAGAGTCTAACCGCTACACCACGGCACAGGTTGTTAAATTTATATTTTATAGGCAAACTGGTACTGTGGTAAACATGAGGCTGACCGGATTTACTTCTTCAGACATTTACAGGTATCCATTTTAGGCTAGATCGATCTGAGAGCTCTAGATAAATTTCAAAAATCCACTTCAATGCAGGAAAGATAGTGATGTTGGGATGTGAATAGTACAGCTGTGTGGGCTTCTAACTTCTGAGACTATCATTAAGGGGCAGCTATTTCTGCTAAAATTAAAGCGTCGATGTCATGGTATAAAGATTGTTAAATTTATGGCAGTCAAAGTATAGCAAGAAAGTCTACATTATTTATTCAGCTTACTTTGTAGACTTTGGTCACGAATACCCATCAGAAATGATACGCGACTGACGTGTCTAGTCTGTATGTTCAAAGAGGCAATTTTGATGCCAGGCCCACGTGACGCTTGCCAACTTTGTCTTACGAAACAGAGAGAAGTGGAATACACCATTGTTCGAAACAGACTAGACAGAACACAATGGCATTGTTATTTACGACTTACACAAACGAGAAGGCTAAAGAGGATGCAAGTTATCTGTCAGTACTGTCAGTATGTACCGCTTTTTTAGGGTGGTGTAGACAGGGGGTCGTTAGTCTGAGGATTTTGTGCTGCACAGCAAGTGCTGTTTCCATGGAATGTAAAGGTCCGGATGTTAAATTTTACCCCCGATGAAAAACTCCATCCCCTTACCGGGAGTCAAACCAAGATCTGCCGCATGAGAGTCCGAGGTTGTAACTGCTCGGCCAGCCGCTCTTGTTTTCAAGAAGCGAGGAAGGAAGTACTGCCAACAAATGTTAGTTGTTGAAACATTTAGCGTTGGGAATTTGCTTTTCCTGACTGTATCTATTGTTATCTAACAACATCACCGTTAGTATTATTAATATACGTAATTGTTCAGCTAACTAAAGGTAAACTGCATGCAGCTAAGTCTACAAAACGCGCACACACAAAAAAAAGAAAGGACAAACATGACAAAGTGCCCTAGACTGGACATTACCAATAACGACAAGCAAGACAAGCACAAAACGGCCTGAAGAAAAATCACGTTAGAGAAATTCAAAGCAGGCAAAATGAAAGCAATCAGTATTGTTATTATATAATATGATAACCTTAGACCTCGTCAGAGATATTATCGAAAAAAATGCATTCTATCTTATTGTTTTGACACCCGTCAACACGCTAGCGGCACGCATCTTTAAACGGTTAACAGATCATGTGCAGAATGCTGGGAAATTTCTGCAAAAGATGCCGGGCGAGGAAAGTAACTGGACACACAACGCACGATACAGTGGTTTACATTAGGTGAAGGTTTAACATCTCCAACATAATTTCAGTTTCTGACATAGATCTACGTGTGTGTATGCGCAGTGCTTTTTCGGAGAGGAAAAAAAAAACAATGCCGGCATCACAAATGGTCTATACGGTATCTTGGAAAAATGTTGACTTAACGAATATGCCAGTACTGTGTACTGTTGCATGCAGCAACAAAATCCACATTTATATATGTAACAGTGTTCAACAGTGTGTAATGTTAAAAGAGGAATAATGTATAGAAAGTGAGAAAGTACTGATAAGTGTAGACATAAATTGCTTAAGTAAAAATAGACAAGTGTCTTCTTTAACAAGAATTATAAAACTGAAATGTTAATAAGCATATGTTTATAGGTTTAGGAAATAAAATATAAATATGAACAGTTCACATGTTTAATTTACAGATTCTTCGTGTGGGTTCCAGGGGCCCATGGAAAGGCGGGAGGGGTGGAGGGGGTAATGCCTGATGTCATTAAAAAGTATAGCGAAGTTTCCTACTTAAAGGAGATTAATTAGGGGTTTGCTAGAGTCCAGTGTGTTGGACCGATAAGCACAGATATCGTATCCTTGTTTTCACCACATGGTAACGCACTGACCCCCTTTTCAAACGTCAACACAACAGAAATGATGAATAAGATTTGTGTTTAGCTACAACTTACGAAAGCCAACCCTTCTCGTCGGCTGTTAGATTTTGTAATGGATTTCACATGAGACTTCGTTTTGAAGGATGAAGCACATCCACCACCGACGACAGCTACCGCCAAATATCAGTGATTTAATACTCATGAACCGTCGCGCTTTCGGCGCTTCCCCTTGCAGTACTCATGCTTTGAACTCAGGCGATTTCGGCGCCTGAGAGCTGCTCATAACAACTACACATTCCAGAAATACCAGTCGTTCACAGAAAAGAGAGTTGCGAAAGTTGTATCTTCTAAGAGACAGTGTGTCACAAGCGTCGAACAAACGCCAGCCATTTTTTCGGCACGCTGTGTACAGACGTCGAGGGAAGACATCTCATAACACCCCTAGAACATAGGACAGCCTGTGGGAAACGCTACAAAATTTAACCGTCCACGGGATGGGTAACCTTCGTTAATTTTACCCCTGTTAATCTTTTTAGATCTGAACATTTGTTTTATGGTGTTGGCCATTTTTAGTAATATTGACAACATTGGATTTCTTTCCTTTCTCTCCTAACATCACTGCTCACTAATGTTGATGTTAATGGAAGACACCTCCGCAGCAAGAGCACCATCCTCCACATCAACTTGTTCATCGCCTTTATCCTGAGAGCTTCGGTGTCATTCATGAAAGACCGATTGTTTGTAGGTGGCCTTGGCCTTCCTCGTGACGTCAGAGTGGGCCAAACAGGTCTAGACTTCATTCAAGAAGGAATAGTAAGAATTTCAATTAGATAGTTTGTCGTCGCAAAATTCACACTTCAAATTCGGTGGCTGTCCAGATAAAAAGTATCACGCACTTTGTATCATTATGTCGTTTACTGTTAGTTTGTTTCGTTTGTTTACATAATATAACAACCTCACTGTTATTTAAGTGTAAAATCCTTTTGCGTCGGGTTATGTTTCGCGTTTTTGCTTGCTGATGAAGGTATATCCCCGCAGTGTCGATTGATTATTGCTGTAGAGCTGACACACACTCTATCTTTTCTTATTATTATTACACATATGCAAGCATCGCACAGATGCACAAATGTATGCAGAAATAGATGAACGGAAATATGAATGCAGAGCCGAAGAAATGTGCGACAGAGAACTGGGCACCGAATAATACATGTTTTCCATTACTGGAAGTTAAATATATTTTTTCATGTGGGACTTTATTTGAATTCCAACGAGCCTGCAGAATAATTACTAGAATAACTACTATCATGCTATTAGGTGAGAAAGACAAACAGGCAGTTAGACACACAGAACGAGAGAGGATTTGGAAACATACAGCCAACTGTGTATGTATGTATTCCTATCACTGGAGGTTACAAACAGAATGGTGAGTTAGAAAGTGTCGTGATATCAACTGATACGGGATTTTTGAGATGGCTAGATATGTGTGTTTGTAAATGTATTAGGCAGTGTGTCTCTGTGTTCCTGTGTATGTATGTATGTATGTATGTATGTATGTATGTATGTATGTATGTATGTATGTATGTATGTATGTATGTATGTATGTATGTATGTATGTATGTATGTATGTATGTATGTATGTATGTATGTATGTATGTATGTATGTATGTATGTATGTATGTATGTATGTATGTATGTATGTATGTATGTATGTATGTATGTATGTATGTATGTATGTATGTATGTATGTATGTATGTATGTATGTATGTATGTATGTATGTATGTATGTATGTATGTATGTATGTATGCATGCATGCATGTATGTATGTATGTATGTATGTATGTATGTATGTATGTATGTATGTATGTATGTATGTGTGTGTGTGTGTGTGTGTGTGTGTGTGTGTGTATGTATGTATGTATGTATGTATGTATGTATGTATTTATGTTTGGAATAGAGCACACCAGCTGATGGTACAAATGGCACCAATACTAAGAAACAAACATGTATCTGTAAAAATCAGAACAGCGCTCTATGACAAAATCTTCTTGCCAAACCTGTGCTACCAATGCTTTACCTGGATATGGAGAGAAAAAGAGAAAAGAAAAATTACAACTGAAATGAGAGTCGTACGAAGGGCTCTCGGGATAACAATAGGATCAAGAATGATTCAATCTGAAGGAAAATCAAGGTTGTAGCATGTTTTTGGAACACAATATGTGAAATGGTTTGGCCATTTGATGCGGGTGTAGCAATTAGTATACCACAGGAAGCATTGACAGAGAGACTAGACAGGAATAGGCTGACCATGCAAACGATGAACAAAGGAAATAACAAAGTCTCTGAGAATCCTATTTACGAAGTGAGCAAGCAGCCATTTTCTCGTAAATTATACCTCAAATAGACACCGAAAGGTAACAGGGGATAAAAAATGAGATAAGATGAGACGAGATGGCCACGTTAAAATTATCTAGTATAATAAACTGTTTAGCAGTTCCTGAAAAGATTTGTCTCACGTTGTTCCTTACCAGTCTCTACATTCTTACCTCAGATGATCATGATTCATACATTTTGACTCACGTTGCTCCTTCACATGTCATAACATTTAGACTGTTTGTGTATACGTCAGCACTGGGAATGCCGAACGTTGTTTGTGCTGCTTATGTTCGCAATCTCTGCAAGCCAAACCTGGGTTTTGATGGAAGGCCTGTATCTCTATCTGATGGTGCATAAGACAATGATCGCTGAAAAGCTTGGAGTCATGCCATACATTTATCTGGGCTGGGGTAAGTCAATGTTCAGTGTTTTCATATATATTAGTGTTTCCTTCTGTATCTACAAAGTAAAAAGTTAAGACGGGAGATGTGAACCAGCGTCATTGCACACCGTTATAAACCATAAGTGCTCTGCCACCAGTACGGACAGCTGAAAAGAAACTGTCCGCCTGTGTCGCCGTCCGCACGCAAGCTACAGCGACGTTCCTAAAATTTACCTAAGACTGTCAACTCTGGTACCCATTACCTAGAGGCTTGGTGAACCGCCAGGTTTTGAATACCGGCCGTGGGCTGAAGTGAGTCACAGCTGGATTTGAAATCGAGTCTCCTATTGACTGCGCTCACGCATGTCTATACATGTATATACTACCATGTCCTCGTCGTTACTGACTAGAGCAGTGGCTCTCATCTTGGTAATCTTGGTTATCTCAGTTTCAGCTTCATAGCAAACGGGTCACCCCATAGTTGCCTCGCTCCTGTGCAACGAAAACACAGTCCCTTGTTGAAAAATTGACAGACTACTGTCTCAGCATATGCACTAGCATACACGCGCATTAAAAGCATAAGGTATAATCCGAAGTGCTTACACAAACAGTCCGACATTAGAAATGCAGTTCACATTCGATGGTAGCAGAAGTCACCAACAAATCAGCAGTTGCACACGCGATCAATTTTAATCACATAATGGCACCACCAATATTGCGACAACAGGAATCGCACCATTTCTGAACCTACTATTAACACCACCACGTTAGTCACAGTCGAAAAACTTTCCAAATGAAATCCGCAGCTCACAGTGTCGTGCTATGCACTCACCTCAGAAGCTAGGTGACTAAACTAGTTCCGTTCAGTCTATAAATGGAGCAAAATTGCAACGGCCACCGTCTGGTAGGGAAAAAAATTGTCACCACTCAAACAGTGACCGTGCCTAGCGTCCATTTTGACCGAAAGCTCTCAACCTCCGTAATGCCACGACCCTTAAAACAGTTCCCTCGTGTTTTGGCGAACTCCAGTTATTCCCCTTTATAACTTCAATTAATATGTATTTTTCGATGGTCTTAAGCGACCCCTGTGAAAGGGTCGTTCGACCCACACACAAAAAGGTCGCGACCGGCAGGTTGAGAACGGCTGGTCTAGACAATTCTAAAAATTGTTTGCTAATTCCCAGGACTGAACTGTCGGAACAATTATCCTCTCTCTGTTGTGGGTTACATGTTGACAGCGATTTTGGCGGGCAAACAAGATAACCTCTTCCCAATTATTGTTAGTGGTGTCTTTGGGTCAAATAACTTTGATAAATGTAACGCTTTAAAATATTATCGTGTGTACAAAAGTTGAAATAAAGTTACCTATTTGTAATCTTTTAAATCCAGAAAGCCACAACTGCAGTTAGAATCCTATGGAATCCTATGCTATAAAATCTTCTCTTATCTTTTATATTTGTATTTATCAACCTATGCAAGAAAATCATTCTGAAATACATAATCTGAATAGCTCAAAAGTCAAATGGCTCTGGATTCTCTAATACATTCCTGGCTCTTTCAAGTCCAACCATATCTTGCTTATATTGCCCATCCCGGTCCATATCTCATGTCTCATTGAATGTATAGACGTTTTTCTGTTGTTTTTTTTAATCTCTTATACGCCTTATAATCTCGGTAGATTCTACACACACACAAGCACACACACACACACACACACACACACACACACAAAGTGACTTTCTCGTTATACAATGTAATAATGTTGTTTCATCATCAGTCGGTTAATCATGTGGTGAGACGTGATTCGATTACAAAGACTGTACTTTAGGGAACATTGGAGGTAGTCGAAGAAAAGGAGGGCAAAGAAGAACCTAAAATGACATCAAAAAATGGACATGACTAAGTTATTATACGCTTATTCATCAAGCAGAAGACAAAAATGCCCGGTTGTATGTGCTAGTGCTTCCATCAATACACCTTCGCGACCCTAATAGGTCAAGGGTTATGTTATGTTATGTTATGTTAGTTAATATAAAAAGATAATGGAAATATAGGTTTAGACCACATAAATACATAAGTTATTGGGATAAGTAGCCATGAAACTGAACTGACTTGTAATAAACGGACATTATGTTGAGAGAAAACTCCAAGTCAAATATTGCTGGGCTATATTTCTCATGCCCGTGACTCCTTTCTAATGAATTAGCTATATCGACCGCAACATTAAGGTCTGACGGTAATATTTATGAAACTCCGTCACTGTAACATGAAGCAATCTGGCCTGTTAGCCATTAACGTCGGATTATTGGATTACAGACTTCTAGAAGACGAACAGTTCTGATAAACATTGCAATAAACCTCTTAATAATGCATGGTACCTAGTAAAAAGGTATATTTTACCCCACCAGGACATCACACAGAGCGATAAACATCTGGTGACACAGAGTGCCACCATGCGGATGAGGATCACCCGTGGAAAGGTCCGTGAAACCGCGTTCAACCTTAAGGGTATATTGCGGCCCCCGGCAAAATCCAGGGTTGAGCTTCATAATAACGAAAAATTGCGTCACACATGGGAAGGACATTAACATGGTACCTTACCTTTTATAAGTCTTGGAGATGTGTGGGATGATTTTTATTTCAAAGCAGAGCTTTTTAAATATGCGGTTAAAAATAATTCTTCAAATAATCTATTACAGTAGTGGTTGTGAATTTTTGGTCCGCGGCTCCCCACAGTCCACGGAACAAATTTAGGAGGGCAGGGATATCGGTTAAAAACAAAAACCTTAGCCCTCTCTGCTTTGGCAATATCATTTTTTAAACGTATGAGCACATTGACAGCAATTCGAAAATAAAAGGGGTCTGCGGGTTTTTCCTAGCCAACCATTGTATTATATATATATATATATATATATATATATATATATATATATATATATATATATATATATATATATATATATTTATATTTATATTTATATACACATGTTTGGAACAGAAGTGGCATAGCTCTGCAGACAAAGCTTAAAGTATACAGAGCAGCTGCATTAACTACAATGGTGTGTGAATGTGAAACATGGACTGTAAACCAACGCCAGACCAAAAAGTTAAACCACTTTCACACAGTCTGGCTTAGAAAACTAATACAGAGTACCTGATACTGTAGTCCTTGAGAAAGCAGCCATGCCCAGCATCTATACTCGACTGATTTAGTATCAAATTCTTTAGGCTGGTCATGTGGCACGCATGCCACATACTGAAATAAAGTTATGACAGAGCTAAACGAAAATACGCAGATACGCTAAGCTATGTCAAGGCAAACTACACAGTTTTAGAGAGGCTTTTCATTACTCATCAATTTTAGAAACAGGCCATTCAAGTGTTGTATTTGACTTTTTTTCCCAGCTTTACCGTGGACATTTCTCATTCCATGGATCGTTATCAAGGCGAGGTTTGAGAACACATTGTAAGTACAGGAAGCGTATCAGGTTTGAAAGCGAGAATACCTTGTATTAACTAACCATTTTTGTTTTCATCAGTCCGTCAGCAATTTGGCGTACCTATCTACAAATCTACCTATTCATCTGCCTGCCTGTCAGTATGTAAATCTGTCTATTTATCAATCTATATGTATGTAGGTCTCCATTTATTTAATTGTTTTCGATAAAGTTTTGACATGAATATTTGTTTTTGTTTTGTTTTTAAAATTTATTTATTTCTCGGGGGAAAATCTAAGGCAACCAAAGACCATCTGTATGACATTTACAAATAACTGATAAGAAACATTTGAAATTAATGTAGCGCTTATGTGATCTTCAACCAGTATGGGAAAGATCATATACACTATTGACAGTGATAACGATAACATAGATTGGTTTAAATGCGTGGCAATTTCCAGATGAATAATTTAGATGGTGATGTAAACAGCATGTATGTTATTGAACGGATGTAGCATTTTTCATTGCTCTCTGTGTAATTAATGTGTAATTCAGTGTTCTTTCAAGGATGAAACTGCAGCCGGTCCAGCAAATCGGCTGTGGATTTAAAAGTTCACAAACACACACAAACAGTGCTTACGAAACTCTATATTAAGAGATTGCCAATCAATAATGCGTTAAAAATAAAGACCTAAAGACTCAAGCATCATAACTATGTACAAGAAGAAGTGTGATTGGAGTGACTGATGTAACAACAGGGGAATATCACTGCTGTGTACTGTTGGAAAAGTTAAGTAAAAAAAAGTAAAGGACATATAGGACTAGACCTATATTTTAATAGAAGAATCGGCACAAGATGAGTGATGTGGTCAGCATCACATCGGCCGCCTCTACTTCCCGGGACTGCACTCAGTACCACTAAAGGTTGGGGCGACCTGGGAGCCAAAGTCATTTTTCCGGCTCCGCCGGGGAGCGAACCCACGACCTTCTCATCCGCGGCGAGCGTCTAGCCGCTCTGCCACGGCAACTCCCTGTTGGAAAAGTATTTGCAAGAATTATTCAGCGAAGACTCCAGATCCTAGGAGACCAGGTTTACCAGTCACAGTATAGCTTACGTAGGAACCGGTCTACAAGTGATGGGATATTCTTCTTGCGTCAGTTTCAGGAAAGATGCCGTGAACAAAATTAACCACTGTAAACTGCTTTTATTGATCTTACTACGGCTTTTGATTTTGTTAGTCGGAAAGGTCTGTTAAACACACTGAATAAGAATGGGCGTCCACCTACCCTGCTGAACATTATTGAGTCGTTCCACCCAGACATGAAAGGTACATTCAACTGTGATGATGTAACATCGGAGGAGTTTGTAATCAACAACAGAGTGAAGCAAGGATGTGAACTTGCTCCAAACCCCTTTGGGATATACTTCTCACTTCTTTTGAAACGCCTTTCGAGGTCGGGGAGGTAGTTTATTCATCCATTCTCGATTTGATGGCAGCCTTTACAATGCTGGTAGGCGGAAGGCCAAAACCAGGATAAGAAAGGTACTTATCAGAGAGCTGCTGTTTGCAGATGATGCAGTAATAACCACCCACTTAGAGGAGGAGCTGCAATGTTTACTGTCTTTATTTGCTGATACATGATGTGAATTTGGACTAACAATCAGCAAAAAGAAGACAAAGGTTATGGTGCAAGGTGTAAGCTAAAAGACATGTAGTCTACATTGATGAGACATCTGAACATTTTACATATCTGGGTTCCATAGTGAATAATAAACTATCGCTGGATCAAGAAATCAACACAGGGAGTGGTAAGGTAGCAACAACAATAACAATGAGGGGAATAATAAAAAGAGTTCGGCAGAACAAAAAGCTCACGATTAAAACTAGAACTCTTGTCTGTCAGGCTTGTGTTCTCGGCACTCTGCTCTATGGCAGTAAAACGTGGCCAATTATTCGCATCAGAAGAGACGACTAAATATCTTTCACATTCGATGCCTAAGAAGAATGCTTGGATTAAGTAGCAGAACAAGATCACACATTCTGCGGTATTGGAAAGAGCAGATACTTCCACAATCTTCTCAATGCTCAGTATACGAAGGCTCAGGTGGTTGGATCACACCTAGAGCATGGAGGATGGCCTAAGGACATCCTTTATGGCGAACTAAAGATGGGTAGAAGATTTAGAGTTCGACCTCTGCTACGTTATAGAGATGTGTGCAAGCGGGACATGGATGATACAGCTATTGAGGTTGTCTCGTGGAAATAAAATGCCATGGACCGTGTTGTGTGGCTCATCAAGAAAAGAATGCGAATGTAGGACGAAATGATCGTAGAAAGGTTGAGAGCTGAACGTCTGAGAAGTAACAGACTGAACACAAATGTTGACAACAATAGTCCTGAAATCCCATGCTATAACTGTGGAAGACTTTACATAACGCGGGCGGGCCTTGCTAATCACACTTGCCATCGCCTTGAGCTGTGAGTCCCATGCCTCCTCAAAGCACAGTAATTCCCTATCGTCTGGAAAGACAGAAAGCTGCAAATGAATGATGAAAAATAAAGACAGTAGTAAAAACAAACATAAATCTTTCAGGCATTAACTGACGTTGACTAATACACGACTTTATTTTCTTTATCGTTACGGTCATATAGATCTATGGACAATGGTGATCGAAACTGATGATCATAATATAAACAACTTACTTTATTCTATGGCACTTCCTAATAGTATATCAGGGTGAACAAGAGAAGATGAACAAGACACATTATTCCCTTGCTCCTTTTCTGTATCCTTCTTCTTTACCCTGAATTCATTTGCTGCTGCCGCTATCTTTCCTCTCCCAGTCAAGTTAAAGACCCTTCATCAAACCAGACCAGCTATTTCTTGTACTTTGTTTATTCCTGGCTGTTTAAATCTTGTTGATTTCTCTGCAATTAGGTGACTCATTTATTACTTTCTGTATGTGTACGCACGCGTGTGTGTGTTTGGGTATAACCATTTAATTATATGCATTTATAATTCTAAGACCTGCTGTTAGTGTTTACACTTGGATACGGTCTCTGCACAAAAGTAGTATTGAAAATCAAAAAGTGTATTTGGTCTGCCGATCTTAACTGTCTTGTTTCATTAACACAGCTGCTGGAATTTGCAAGAAAACCCAGCTTTCTTCTGGATCTTGAAGGGCCCGTGGACTGCCTTTGTCGTGGTAAGAAAACATAACAGTGTTTTTTTTTGGGTGTGTTTTCACTGCTTCATATCCCATTATAGGCATGTCATTCTTAAGTATTATCACATATAGGTCACTGCCATGACATATACACCATTTTAACAACATCACACCCCCCCCCCCCAAACGCTTTTATAAAAATCGCCACAAATTCAATATGCATATGCTGCATGTTAAGATCACCTGCCAGTCGTAAGTTGTAGAGCAGAGGTTGTACAGTGGAACCTGGCTTAACGAGCATAATTCGTTCCAGAATCATACTCGTTAAGCGAAACACTCGTTATGCGAAACAATTTTTTTCATATAAATTATTGTAAAATACGATAATGCGTTCCATGTCCAAAAAAAATATTCACAAAATGCTATGTATAACGTTTATTCAAAAAATATTATATGCATATTGTTAAGGAGAGTGAATCATCTTCATCTATTCTTCAAACGCGGAACGAACCCACCTGTAATGCGAATTCGATTTGCAGAAAAAAAAATCGAAATAATTTGATATATATCTATTTTTTTACTAGAAAGATGTTCAGAGACATTTGCTTCTGCCGAAGCTTCAAATTTTGCTAAAATGCGACACAGCATTATCATTTAATAAATTTGCAGAAGATTTCGGCAGAAGATTGTTGCTTTTCTATTACCACCTCCTCCTCCTATGACAAACGTTCCTCCAAAACGTCTTGCTGTGAAACACAATGCAACTCCATAAGTTCTTCGGTGGTCAGCTTTTTGCTGACAAGCTCTTCGATATCACTGTTATCCACCTCCAATCCCATGACCAAAGACCCAATCTCGTTGACTACAGGTTCCACAGCTACTGTCTCGAACCCCTCAAAGTTACAAATCGACAACGCTCTCCGGCCAAAGCATCTTCCAAGCTTGGTAACCCCTTCCCAGCCTTGTCGATCATCTTGAGGCAGGCAACAATGTGGAAGTGATTTTTCCAAAACTCTTTGAGAGTGAGGTTGGTCCCTTCATTCACCTGAAAACAATGTTCGAAGAATGCTTTAGTGTAGAGCTTCTTAAAGTTAGAAATAACTTGCTGGTCCATGGGCTGTAGTAACGGAGTGTTGTTGGGAGGCATAAACTGGATCTTGATGAAAAATTCTTCAGGGAAGTTTTTTTCATAGGAAAAGTGTAGGGAACGGAATTGACCTTCTAATTTATGCTGTGATAACCAGAATTATAGCATATAAGATATTCCCATAGATGCTTCGTCTCCCTCGGAAATGTTTTCAAATGTTGATGCTGGTAGTATTGACCTAGAATCCATGACGGCCTAATATTTCAGGCACAAACAGCCTCATCTGTCAAGGGACTACATCTACCGTTACTCATTACTACTACTAGACAATTCCAGTACACATGAAATTATCTACCTGAAAGGTCACAATATTACACGTCGCATCCTAAGCGTTAGCTAACGAAATGCACACTTACATCATCATCATAGGCCATGTCACTATGTGTAGGCATCCTTTCCCCAGAATTGACACGATCATTGGTCTCACAATAGGGCTTTGTTTCTGTTATTATGTTTTATGGCCAAGCCATTTCCGTTTCGCCTCAAGTTTTAATTAATTTTTCACATTTATTTTCCCCACAGGCCATACAATAACGCAAAAGCTGTTTATCAGCGTCTAACTTTACACAGTAAACCAAAAGCTGTTTGTCAGTGTCTAACTTCACACAAGAAAACAAAAGCGTCAGCGTCTGAATTCACACAATAAAACAAAAGCTGTTTGTCAGCGTCTAACTTCACACAGTAAAACAAAAGCTGTTTGTCTGCGTCCTGCTCTACACAGTAACACAGAAACAGTTTATCAGCATCTACTTAACAGAGTAAAGCAAAAGCTGTTTGTCAGCGTCTAACTTTACACAGTAAAACAAAAAAAAAGGTGTTTATCAGCATCTAATTCACACAAAAAAAGCTGTTTGTCAGCGTTCAACTTTCCTCCATCCGCGACTCGTACAGCAGGGTCAGCACTATCAGAATGAACCGGCGTTTGTTTCCTCAGAGCGCAGGGCCATTTCTGGTCTATTATTATCATCAGTCTTATTGTTAATTTTGTTATTTTTAAAGCTCATCTGTATTTTCCAGATCAATTTTGTCTTTTTTCTGGACATAACACGCGTACTGACTACACGAGAGTTGAACAATCAAAGGCATGCTGGCCGGTCACAATACAGGTAGGTACACTGTGTGGATTATCGGAGTTTGTACAATAGTGCCTTCGTATTTGCAGATCTGGTTAGAAATGACTAGCATTCTTAACTGCCTAACCCGTAGTCGCAGATTAGAATCATTTGAAGAGTATTTTTTTTTTAAATCTACCTAAGCTACAGATCTACCAGCCCTGAATTTGTACTAGGAAATGTTTCGTGAAGTTAAGTCAAGATTCTTGATAATGAAATATATATATATATATATATATATATATATATATATATATATATATATATATATATATATATATATATAGAGAGAGAGAGAGAGAGAGAGAGAGAGAGAGAGAGAGAGAGAAGGAGTGGACAAATACAAAATAAACTATGTTGCACAGTTAATGAAAAACAGTTCTATTGTCCAAAAAAAGAGTGAAACGCAAGAAATAACTGTTCTTGAGAACACGCAGACAAACATAAGAAGACTCGAAATATTATTCATCTGTCTTTCATAAAAACTAACTTAGCAGCTTTTACAGACGTGATATCGGCAAACACAAACCCTGACAGTAAACATTTATCATGTGTGTGGGAAAATCAATGCATACTAGAAGTTTACATAAGACACGAAACTACAAGAAATCGATATAGTCAGCAGGATTATATATTTAAATGTCGGTACATTAATTAGGATTTTTGGTTCTTTCGTAATAGCCTACCCCCAGATGACGTCACAGGACAGTCCAACATTTTCAAGGGGATAAGACTGGGTTTCTCAGCTTTCTAATGCTTTTAATGACCCCAAAATATCTAGAACTTTCTCTAACCACAACCCACCTACGTCCTAGAGAGTGAAGCCTAGGTCCCACGACTGCATGCAGCCTAGGTTCCACGACTTCATAGAGCTCATCTACCACTCACTACAATATTAGACCGTCCCGTTACCTGTGGATTTCCCCTGCTTGGAGTAGGATATTAAAAAAAGCACCAGATTTCTATAAGTATGTATAATTCTACGAAGCATCAGGAGGTTTAAAAAAAAAACGTTTGAGCATTTGCTAGCCTTTTGTTTCTTCATTTCGTTCAATGTGTTGTTGGGAGGAATGACTGTGAGCCCTATATGACATAATAACACTAAAAGATAGTGATATGTTGTGTTTGTGTGTGAGTGTGTGTATGTGAGTGTCTGTCTGTGTGTGAGCATATGTGCTTACCATATATATTTATATACATGTAAACATTTTGCTTTTACTTTATATATATATATATATATATATATATATATATATATATATATATATATATATATATATATATATATATATATATATATATATATCCACCTTTAAGTGCATTGATATGGATGTATATGAAAATTATAAAAATGGCGACAGATTTGTATACTGATATATCATCATCATCATGTGCTCTGTCGACTGGCGGGGGCGTTCAAGCATCTCCGCAAATCTAGGCCCCTTGTCTTCTGGTTCATTTCCACCTATGAGATCCCTCCGTGCCACTGTCGCAATCCATCCATCATCTCTCTCGGTCTTTTTTCTACCGTTGATCTTCCCAGTTGTCACACTATTCTCCACCCCCCACCCCCTTTTCCCCTTCTTTTTCCCCACCTCCCCACTAAATAAGAGTGCTCATCTCTTCGTTATAGTTGTATATATTGATCTGCTTTCATTAGCTTCTTTCAAGCAGGTTTCGTTAGTTACTCTGACAGTCCAAGTAATTCTTCTGAGAAATCACCTCTCCGTGGTCTCCAAGTTGTTTCTAAAATTTGTGCATTCACATTTAATAATTCACTACCATACAGCAGTTTAGGTTCTGCACAACAGTTTAGTATTCTCTTTCAGAAATCCAAAGAGAAGGATTTGTTACACAGGATTTTCTTCATTCTGTGATAAATGCATTCCTAACTTGTCCTATTCTGCTCTTAATTTCTGACAGAATCTTCCGTCTGATATTATGAGTAAACCAAGATTTTTGAATTGATCTACTTAAATTACATTTTTCACACTGTGGAATTATTCTTTTCTTTGATATAACCATTATCTCAGTTTTCTTTATATTTGAGATCAGACCATTTTTGTGCACTCTCACTCGCTACAATAGCTATTAATTGTTGTAGATCATTTGCATTTTCAACAATAAAAAGCTATCAATTTTCAGCTATCAATGTATACTAGCATACAAGTCAAGATAGATAATAATAACCACATATGAAAGCAGATAAGAAACCATACGTTTGCATACCAATGTATGTACATAGATGATCAATAGATAATATATCTTTGGAGGTAGAAACAGATAAGAAGATGTTAAGAATCATGCAGAAAACCATAAAAGATATGCATTTTTGAAAATATAGGCAGCGATGTAAAACAAAACAAAACACACAAAAAGTAAAGACAAACTTTTGTTCTTTGACACTTTTTTGCCTTCTGTCTGACACCGACATTTAGAAAGGGCGTACATGAGAGTATGGGTTGCATTCTGATTAAGTTTTGACGCCAGTCGAATCCACTACTCACTCTTCGCCTCACCCTTCTCATCAAACCGTGGTGATTCATATGTGCCTCCGCACTGTTCACTCGTCTTCATAGGGCGCTTACAACATCTAATTTGTCACGAATCAGTTCATAACCAAGTTGAGCAGAACCAGCCATTCTGTGTGTTTGTTTATTTCGTAATACACCAGTATGGCCTGGAGAAAATATCCACAGGACACTAACTACCTAGGACATCTAATGCAATTCTTGCCACTCTTTACGGAGCATACTTGTCTCCCCTTTTCTCAGTATGCTCATTTACATGTTATAAATATATATTTTATGAATAGCTTTCCTACTGTAGAAATTATTCCGCGGTGCCGAATTCTTTTTTTAATGTTTCACATTCCTAAGAATGTTTACTGTCTAACAATATCTAAAAGCATTCGCTTTGTCAACACTTTGAAAAATAGTCTAAACCTGAGACCAGCCACCTCTGCTATAAGTAAAAGTAAAAGGTTGTCACATCCCGCCTACTCTTTCCCGTTTATGCAAATATAAATCGGAGATTCCCATCAGCTGGATGTCTATGCCTTGACAATGATCGATCAAAGATTAATCTTGTTTCCACTACCACGAATTCGACCCGATGTTGACTTCATTACCCACCGAGTGCCGATTGGTCTATAAAGATATGAGGCTACCACCATATGCCTGATTAAACCATCATTAAGTGCCCAAACCTGGTTTTCCTGTAAGATAATATACGTGATTTCTTGGTCTCTGGTGCACCTTTAAAGACTTAGTTGCTCTTGGTGTGTATGTTAAAAGTCTGTCAGCCAGAATCCTATGTTAATATTGTAATTTGTTTTTGACCGAAGATAACAATATGACATACACTGCAAATTGTAAAGTATTAAAAAGGAGAGTGCTTATTAATAATCCTGGAAAAAGAATACCACAATAACACAATACCCGAGCCGTTTCATGGCTATTGTTAACTATTGTAATTACAAATAAAAAGCACTTTCGTTTAAAAAAAAAATAATTATAAAAACAGAATATTTATTTTCATTTTTGTGTTTAATTTATCAGTGTAAAATCAGGCTGTACACTCTAGGGGAAAGCCGTGGGTTTTTGTCAACTTCAGGACTTTGGTTTGTACTACGAGGAGTTTTGTGTGCACATCTGTTTTACAGATCTGGCGTATTTGTGTGCAGACTGTTGGTCCCTAGCCTCTCAGCCATGTGCACTCTAATTTCAAAGGCCAGGTTTGACTGTGTCAACGTTGGCCAGGTTCCCGGCTGGAAATTAGTTTCTCGGATGACGCGAATATAGCTCACTAAAGTTTCGACGAGAGTCATTATCAACAAAACAAACACAAAACATAACTTTTTAACTACATAAACGATTAATTCTTATTTCAAAAGAAACATTAACTAGGACTCCTTGAGTCAGTACTGTTATACGTTTTATTGGGAATAGAATTACCAACGCAATAAAAATGTTTTGGGAGGAGGGACGGGTTTGGACTGGGTGATAAAAAAAGATTGATGTGGGTAAATGTGCATTAAATAGAATGCTCCTAGCGCGTAATTGCGTGTATGAACGTGTCGGGGAGGGGGGTGGACACGAGTGGGAGTGGGGGAGGGGGAGGTTGAGAGAGACAAGCTCCTTTTTAGCCAACTTTCGTTCGGAGAAAATTAATAGCATCAGTTTTGCTGATATAGCTCAACGATTCTACAGTTGTACTTACAAGGATATGGTGTCATTACTAGAGATCTAGCTCCGAATCTCAGTGTTTGCGATTTAGTGTAATAACCTTCTCGTTAACACATTGTTATTCTTTCGCCTAGGAAGATTTAAAGTTCCAATGCACAAATTTTAATTGCCTGAATATTGTTGCAGGAAAGTGGGAAAATTCATTCTGGTCTTGATTCCACTATTCGGGATTATGTACATCGTGATCAATGTAGCCTTTCCATCGGAGGTGCAAGGACTGGAGTATAACGTTGTCTATCTTTACATCGAGATGGGCTACAATTCATTTCAGGTTAGGGAAATAAGTTTCGGCTGCGCCCTGGTCGTTGTCTAATAGTTTCATATTAAATGCATGTTGATGTTTATACAATTATTTACCTATATATATATATATATATATATATATATATATATATATATATATATATATATATATATATATATATATATATATATATATATCTTGTGCAATATATCCTTGTCATTGAGAGTTAGAAAAAGAATTCTTGCTTGCTACATACATCCAGTTTTAACATATGGTTGTGAATCCTGGACAATCGGTAGGCAGGCCAAACAATTTCTTGAGGCCTCAGAGGTGTGGTTTTACAGAAGAATGCTTATAATACATTGAACAGCCAAAAAGAGCAACCAAGAGGTTTTGAATGAGGCGGGAGCCCGAAGACGACTTATCACAGACATCAGAAGGATGTTTTTCGGCCATGTTTTGAGAAGAGGGAAAAAAGAACATGTTGTGACCACTGGAATGAT